TTCTCAGGGTATTGGATCTGTTGAAAGTAGAACCAGGCTGCTGTACCATCGCCCGTCGGAGCAGTCCATTCAGCGTATTGTAAAAGAGGTCAGCAGATTGCTCTTTACACTTTTTACGTCTAATTAACATTGCTTACTGCTAACTAGTTTGGAGCAGAACGCAGCGCAGTGATCTGTTTTCTGGTAAGCAAAACGGCGACGGTTCGTCACGAAGCCAATCCATCTTCGATTTCTCGTCTGGTGGCCATCAAAAGTCGAAAATACCGACCGGAAAAGATCTTCCCAAATATCTGTGAAGATGTAAAAAACTGAAAAAAGTAAAACATAATTTTATTTAGCAGCAGAATCAGATAGAAACGAAATTAATTCCATCCTCCCTCGCTTACCTAAGCAGCTCCCATTTATCGTGATGTTGTTTAATGCACTTATTTTTAGCTTACCACGCTGTAGCCAGAGGAATCATCCAAAACTCATCGCCTTCCTCAGATCACCGTTGGGTATCACTGAAAACGCCAGAAGCAAAAGTGGTGACTGGGGAAAATGGCGTTCAATAAAAATACCGAAACCTTGTGTGGGTGCCAAAAGTCCCTAAATTAACGATTAATGAGACAGGAGTTTCTCCATTTGCCCATGACGCTCTTCCAAAAAGCACCATGCGTGTCATGTATACTCACAAAGAACAAGCAAAAATTGAAAACTGTGGGACAGGCAAGCACTGTAAGAAATATGTGACTGCCATACAAACAAACTCCAACTGGTAGTTGTGCAGCCCAAGGAGCAGTAGTGTAATGGATAACATGTCACAGTTCGAAAGATCCAAAGTAACTGGAAATGAATCAGTTCACGGGGATTCTACGACCCTTTACAAGCTGGGTCCGAGCATGATATTTCGAGAGGCTTTTCTGATGAGCTTATTTTTCCACGCTTTAGTTTTGGCTTGCAAAATCCAGCACATTTGATGGAAAACGTTGATAAAATGTGTTAATACGAATGCTTGTGACATGGCAGCTATGAAAATCCAAATTTCCTTCCTCCTTGCCAAACAAGATCACGGAATTATCTGTTTTTCTTCCTCCGCAAACCGCTGCCTCCTCTCTCCTTCCGCTCTGTTATTGCCTCCCCGAAATGGTAACTTTAAGGTGTGCACTGTCCCTGTTTTTGTAATTTCCATCCGTTTTGCGAAATTTTCAACAATCAAAAAAATGCGGGACAC